TAATTTTATGTATTATTTATTCATTGTATTATTGTTCATTACTTATTTGTTATACTTATAATCAATTATAATGTGGCTTAGGCTGTGCTAAACAAGAGCAAGCCACAATGATTGCCGTGCTGTGCTCTACTAAATGTACGTCTATGAAGGTGTATATCGTATTTATACTATTTTGGAGAGCTGTCGACACCCGAGCATCCACTCTCATCGAACGAAAGTACGAGCGCCGACTTAACACGATCAAGTCGGCCGATGCGCTCTGAGAATAAATACACACAACGAATGGAGAGTTTTACGGTCCGTATAATATCTCTACCTAGGATTAGCTATAAAAACAAATGCCAATCAAGAGTTCTACATAAATGTTTATATATTTTTTAATCTTTTGTTATTTGTTGTTAATATATAACCAATAATAATATAAATTGTTATATTTTATTTAATCAATATTATATTCTATTAAGACAGGGTATCAAACATAAAATAAATATATTAAAAGCAGAACGTATTGCTGAAATATATATAAATTCCTGAACTGAATTAAGAGTAAAGTCGATCTCTTTTGTTCGACCTTCAAGCGAAATACCTGAAGTATGTGTTTATGTGTGTAAATTCAGATATAAGTTCAAGTAAATGAAGCTCGACTCGCGGCTCCCTTGTTCAGCCCCTGCCAACTAGAGCTCAATTACTTATTTTAAATCAGATTTTGGCTACCAAAAAAAGAACCGCAAAGAAAAAGTTGTAAAACACATTTTACGTCTAATTAACAAGTCAGCAAAAGTTGTGGGATGCCAACAATACAGAAGCACAAATACATACAGACATACACATATAGACAGTAACACATACACATACGAGCAGCTCCTGCTCTTCTGCGCAATCTAATTGCAATAAAAAATAGTTAAACAAAATACACATATACAAAGTAATAAACACGCCCGCCTCTCGGCCATTTTTATGGGCTGGAAAGTAAAGCAAACAGAATGAAAATTCATCATATCTGGAGCATGGAGCACTCCTAATGAGCAGCTCGGCCAAGGAACTGCAGTGCGCTTTTTAATGGGCCCATAAAAATGTGCCAAGTGGGTAGGCAGCGGCGCTGTTTATGATCAAAACA